AAGGAAAAACAGAGGCTGTAATTTTCTTTCATATGTATCCAAATATATATATAGGGCTACAAGAAAAAGGGGGGAGCTGGCCATTTTGAGGAGCTTCTTGAAGGGAAAACAGAGGCTGTAGTTTTCTTTCATATCTGCCCAAACAATCCGCCAGGAAGTGGATAACAGGGGGCAATAATTTATTAATATATATTCATGCAGTGGCTGGCAGAATAGGAGGAAAGTGGCTGAATTGATTAATATATAAATATATATATACAACGCGTACATTGGCTGGCAATTTGGGAGGAAGAAGTCAAATGTTATATGAATTACTCGAAAGAAAAACAAAGGCGGCAACTCTGGGAAGTGAACACGGACTTAAATTGTGAATATATACATGCAAAAGCAAAGGTGGCGGCTTCAACTGAAATTAATCACGTTTCGTCAACTTTTATTGATGTCTTTTCATTTTTGCGTGTTTAATTTCAACGTTATGAATGGCTAAATATTTTTATTGTTAGAATTGATGATGTAGTTTAAAATTTTTATTATATGTTTAATTTTAAGATTTTCATGTCATTTTAATACATGTTAATTAATTATTGTGTGTTTAATACTTTAATTGTTTGATCAACAATTAATTGATTTAGGGATAATACTGAGACAGTGAGGTGATGCATAATTTTAGCTCATGCAATAATTAATGTAGACATTATAAGAGATCGAGAGATAATTATAAACTATGCGATGTTTGTTGAATTCCTATAGATGAATGTATTTATATGTGTGTAAATTTATATAGAGATATAATAAGTTCGGGCATATGAGTATGATTTGTGTTACTCGAAAGAGATCACTAAATACAATATGTTAACTCAATCATTGGCATGTATGAAAAATGGTTGAATGATTTAGAATTAAATGTATGATAAATAACTTGAATGAAATCGAAAATCCTAGCTATTCAATTCCATAATCTTATTTACAATTTTAATTTGAGTTTATTATTTTAATTAATAGTTTGTTATTTTATTTAATAAAATTTTGGTTAGAAAACAAAACTTGATTTGATTATTAGTTGCTGTTTTAATTTAAATTGAAACTATGTTAGTTTAAAAATTTATAATAAATAGTAATTTTCGTGTGACGATATTCGAATTTAATAAATTCATTTTATTACTTCTCACGACTCATACAGTTACAAAATTTTACGAACAAACGGCACACCGTTTCGTCGCCTCCATTAGCTCGCACCACTAAAGCAAATATATTTAAAGAATACGCTGGAACTTTCTTTATCATCCCATCAAACGGTACACACAAGAGAATCACATAAAACGAAAGGAGAAAGTGGCTAAATATTTTTATTGTTAAAATTGATGATGTAATTTAAGATTTTTATTATATGTTTAATTTCAAAATTTTCATGTCATTTTAATACTTGTTAATTAATTATTGTGTGTTTAATACTTTAATTGTTTGATCAACAATTAATTGATTTAGGAATAATACTGAGACCGAGAGGTGATGCATAATTCTAGCTCATGCAATAATTAATATAGACATTATAAGAGATCGAGAGATAATTATAAGCTATGCGATATTTGTTGAATTCCTATAGATGAATGTATTCATATGTGTGTAAATTTATATAGAGATATAATAAGTTCGAGCATATGAGTATGATTTGTGTTGCTCAAAAGAGATCACTAAATACAATATGTTAATTCAATCGTTGGCATGTATGAAAAATAGTTGAATGATTTAGAATTAAATGTCTGATAAATAACTTGAATGAAATCGAAAATTCTAACTATTCAATCCCATAATCTTATTTACAATTTTAATTTTAATTTATTATTTTAATTAATAGTTTGTTATTTTATTTTATAAAATTTTGCTTAGAAAACAAAACTTGATTTGATAATTAGTTACTGTTTTAATTTAAATTGAAACTATGTTAGTTTAAAAATTTATAATAGATAGTTGTTTTCGTGGGACAATATTCGAACCTAATAAATCCACTTTATTACTTCTTACTATTCGTACACTTACCAGATTTAACAAACAAACAAACAGCACACCGTTTCGTCGCCTCCATTAGCTCGTACCACTAAAGCAAATATATTTAAAGAATACGCTGGAACTTTCTTTAGCATCCCATCAAACGGTACACACACGAGAATCACATAAAACGAAAGGAGAGAAACACATAAGAATGGCGAGCTTGGAGCCATGGCTGGAGTTGGAAAACAAGGTCGTGATGGTGACCGGTGCGTCGTCGGGGCTGGGTCGGGAGTTCTGTTTCGACCTAGCCAAAGCCGGCTGCAGAATTATAGCCGCTGCCAGACGAATTGACCGTCTGAAATCACTCTGCAATGAGATCAATAACGGTATCGCTTCCTCCCGATCAAATGATCCGAGCAACGATCAAGTCAGAGCCGTGGCTGTGGAACTAGACGTGTGCGCCAGTGGACCAACCATTGAAGCTTCTGTGCAAAAGGCTTGGGATTCGTTCGGAAGAATCGATGCTTTGATCAACTCTGCTGGTGTTAGAGGTAAAACTACCCGCCGCCACCACCCCAAGAAAAGAAAAAAAAATTGATTCAACTTTTTGTAGATTTCTGTGCGATTACTGGTTTGATTATATTATGCCTCACTTTGAATTGTCTTGGATATATGATTTTCTTTTCTCCATGAATTACTCATTTTAGTGATTACTGCGGTGTTGTGTGGAAAATTAAACGGTGCATGGTATAACTATTTTTTAATTTTTATTTTTTGAGTTTTTTTTTTTCTTTCTTCTTTTTTTTTCCCCTTCTCATTGACTGTTGGTCATTATTTTGAAAAAAAAGGTAATTTTTTAAAAAATGTGTGATTTAAAAATATGGAAAATTTTTGTGTTTACGTGCAAATAATTTCTGTATAAATGTGTGTTTGGAAATGAGTATGAGAATTAAATAGTTTTGTTTGCTAAGCCCGTGTTTTGTGAAAATTAAAATCAAATTAATTTTTTGTAAAAATTGATAAAATGTGTGGTTGAAAAGATATAAAACTCAATAAATATGTGGTTACAGTTAATTGTTGATTTTGACTAAAATTAAAATCTTGACTATTTTGGATGAGCAACTCTGTATTTCTCTTTGATGGGGATATTCTTGGAATGTATTGAATTACATGACAATGGTTGAGATTAGGAGTGAACAAAATGATCAAATCAAATTAGAACCAAGCCCAACAGAGCGATTTCGATTCGATTCTACAAAAAAAGTTAATGATATTGGTTCTTAGAACCGAGAACTATTTGATTCTGGTTTTGGTTCTAGAATCGAGAATCAAACTTGATTTTTATTATTTTTTATACATAAATATTTTTTGTTATAGATCGGTGAATCACACAAAAAAATTTCGACTTTTAGTTTGGACTTTTGTGAATGAATTTTATTACACAAAATTTCATTTGATAATTGATAATTTGAACTTGATGAATGTTTGATGTTAATTTTTTTAATTTTGGTATATATTACTAATTTATAGATATAGTTATATATTTTAATTTGCATTTATCATTTGAAAATTAAGTAATGGAACAAGAATTAAACCAAACCAAACTTGAACCGAATGGTTGGGTTCCGGTTTGGTTCCAAATCTTTGAAAAAAGTCACTGATTCCATTATAAAAAATAAACTTCATTGATTCATGATTTGGTTCAATACTTTTGGAACCAGAACCAAATGGAACCACGTTCATCTCTAGTTGAGATTGAACATCGTCTAAATCAAAGATAAATGATCTAAAAGTCGTACACATACTTGGTTGACTTAATATTTCCATGTTTGCACCTATCTACAGACTAATTTTTGATCATCTAGTAAGTTTGAAGCCCTTTGCATTTATGTGATGAATGAAAACTAAGGCTGTATATATTTGTACTGATCCAATAATTAGTTACTTCGGTGATGTGTTTCTTGCACCTCTAACATCCGAGGGTTATACCATAGGTCGTGTGCACACTCCATTGGATTTGTCCGAGGAGGAATGGAACCAGATCATGAAAACAAACCTAAATGGAACCTGGCTGGTATCGAAGTATGTTTGCACGAGAATGCGAGATACAAAACAGGGGGGATCTGTCATTAATATCTCCTCCATTACTGGTCTTCGCCGTGGTCAACTACCTGGAGCCCTTGCCTATGCTTGTTCAAAGGTTGCTGTTAACATCATGACAGAGGTAGCACGTTCTTTTTCCTCTCCGACTCACTGTAAATCTGTATTTCTCTGTTCCTGGATTGAACACGATGCACTTGTTTAATCGGAAGTTAATTTTTGAGATGATTACTTTGCTTCATTTGTCGATGGGTGATATTGTACATCTTTCATGTTAGCCATCACTTGCCATTCTATCCATTTATGATTAGATTAAGAACTGTTGTTTTTTCCAATATTTATTGGTATCACCATTAAGAATAATGCTATCTAGCACTAGTTTATGTTGCATTATAAGATATATTCGATTAAATGTGAAATTATATGATATATTTAACTGAACATGTACTTTAACGTCATTAGTGATGTTATCCAAACTGGTGTTAAACACTAATGGTGTTAAATAGCAATACTCTACAATCAATTTTGTGGGTATCGGCATTCTTGCTCTCTAGTATCAACTACTGATATGGGCTCACATCTTCATCAAGCTGTTAACTTCAGCAAAATCTCCTTCACTCCTCCCTTCATCCCTAGCTAGTTTCAATTTTTTCGCAATCACCTTAAATTGTTGTTGGTGTTCTCCTTAGATACTTTCAGGCATTCCATCAGACCATCATCTTCTTTGTGTTCTATAGATGTCAATACTCGTTTACTTTTCTTCACTTCAACATAACATACAGGTTATGGCCATGGAATTGGGAGCGTTCAAAATAAGAGTGAACTCAATAGCTCCTGGGATATTCAAGTCTGAGATAACTCAAGGACTCATGAAAAAAGATTGGCTGAAAACTGTCACTTTCAGAACCGTGCCTTTAAGAACTTTCGGGACCGCTGATCCAGCATTGACATCACTTGCGCGATACTTAATCCACGATTCCTCTGAGTATGTCACGGGCAATATTTTCATTGTCGACTCGGGAGCCACTTTACCAGGTGTCCCAATTTTCTCCTCTCTTTAGATATCAAAGTTATGATGTTCTGTTTGTTCATAGAGACCAATGAGCAAGAAAAGGTGCTTTTCTGAAAGAGATTCTAAATAATGCCTGTTTGAAGAATTTGTAGGATATCGAGTGTTCAATATTATTATTATTTTCGATTTAGTTTGAAGATTGTGAGATTCAATAAAGAATTTTAATCAGAAATTAGTCACACGTTGTGTGATATTGTATAATGTTTTGTTAATCAGCAATTATTATATTCACTTTCAATTAGATCCACATCACAGTCTACCGTGCATTTTGAAACAATACCAAGATTTGCGCGCGCGCACACACTGATGTTGCCCCTCATAAATAGTAATATCTTTACTACAAAAGTGTATATGTTTGACTAATTTAAATTATAATTTTTGCGTTGCCAAACATGCTCTAAGGGTATGATTGGGAGTTATTATAATTTTAGATTATATGGTATTGTGGATCCATAAAATGTGTTGTTAAAATGTTATATTTAATTGGGTGACCATGATGAAACGTTATATGAAATTGGATAGCTATAACCAGGGGCGGAGCCAGGATTGTTGGTCAGGCGGGGCACAACTTATCGATGTTGCACATCGAGGAATGCGCCATTGTATAAGGAAAGAGCGGGCCGGGACGGTGGAAAGGACAGTCCATGTTTGTGAAAGTATTGGTAGGAGTCTGTTTAGTTTACCTCTTCTAATATAGAATGCTCCCACATTAATTCATCCTCAGAGTCTGGGAATGGGATATTGAGCTCAATATCTGCCACAATATCAGGGAAATGATTCTTAAATGCCATTGGAATGTTCCAGCGACCATCATTATATAGTAACAAGTCTTCATTTGACTTCATTTTCTAGGCTAACAGACTGAAGGTGCTTCTTTTTGTGGTTTTGGTGTTAAAATTTGCCTATTATCCACCACAGTACCTGCCGATATGTATCTATCTAGGCCATACCCGAATAAATAAGTTATTCTTTGAAAGAATCTCTTCATAAGATTTCAATTTTCGACAATACCTAAAGTTCAACAATTCCCAAATTTTAATCCTACAATTCCCAAATTTAAGCAATTTCTATCCATTAATACCCAAACTTCAGCAACTACATCAGTTCACAACAATACCCAAATTTCAATTTTCAACAATACCCAAATTTCAATTCATAACAGAGTAACAGGTTACAGACAAACCAGAGAAGGCTCAAGAGGTGTACCGTGTGTCCGTGTCCACTGTCCAGTGTTCTAATTCAGTCATTCAGGAATCAGGGCCTCAGGGGTGAGGGGCCAAATCAATTTTCGCCTCTGTAACGATGAAAAACACAAAATAGAAGAAATCAGCAAATGATTCAACAAAATCAATCAACTCAAATTTCAATTTTCAACAGTGTAATAGCCGTACGAGGTGAAACTGTGAAATAGCCGTGCGAGGTGCGAGGTGAGATTGTTAAATAGCAGTGAAGTATCTAATCTCAGCGGTGAAATAGGCAAATAGCGGTGAAGTGTCTTACTCGCAGTCGCGGGCTTGGAGGCTGGAGCAGACGGAGACGGGTCACGACGGGATTCTCATGTCCTCGTCTCAAATGGCTCTCCTTTAATGTTCAACTGGTCCAGTGGAATCTGGAAGATGCACCGTTCGGCGTTCGATTAGCAGTCTGTGGCTGCGCAAATGGAGAACGGGAGACTTAGGAGAAGACGGTGGCGGAGGGATTTGTCGAATTGGGGAGTGAAATGGAATGGAGCTCTGGGCCTGGGTGGGAAGGAGGAAACGTGTGTACAAGGGA